TATTTTTTTGCTTTCTCTCTGATATTTTTAAACAATTGTATGAGACTTGGTTTTGTTTGACTAGGTTAAGTTCATGCTTTATACTGGTATAGATGAGGGGGCATTGCAGGTTCTTGTTTGTTTGTTATCTTTGCTTCATTGGCTGTGATGCTTATTTGGTGCTAGATGTGCAGTCCCGTTATTTTGACTGAATGGTACTTCAAATAGCTCGTTACTTGGACTGTTCTGTGGGCTTGCAATTTCCTTGTATCAAACAGAATCTGAAAATCAAATCCTGTTATTCCATGTCTGATAAACTTATGGAGAGATATACTTCCCACAGAAGATGCTTGGTGATTCTTGTAATCCTCAACTAGCAGGCTGCTAAGAATTAGACATAGCATGCAAGGATCTTTTTAGCTACCCCCTTTTCAGCATTGTAGATATTGTAATTAGATATGAAAAACACTTGAATTGCCTTAATGGTTCAAGGAGATAGAGCTATATTCTTTTGGACAAAAATGAATTAGAAATAGTATTTTTCATTAGAGCGCATTGAGTTAAACTTTGAAATCACACCTGTATCTGCATTGTACTGAAGAATGCCATCAAAATGTAGCGGGGATGTTTGCTCATGTCCGTATGTACTGAGGATGAAATAATGATGAGGTATATTGGAGTATTACTCACTTTTGAAGGCTCTGTTCTCTTTGTTCAGGTTTACTTTGGTATGCTTGATGCACTATTGGCCTCTGAGGAGCTTCCAGAGGAGTACCAGGATCGCTGTCAGGTAAACATCCAAAGTTTCCTTTGACCTCTTTCTCCTTTAAGCAATACCAAGACTGATTTTGTTAATTCAGGATATACTGTGCAACGACTGTGACAAGAAGGGCATAGCACCATTTCACTGGCTATACCACAAGTGTAGGTTTTGTGGATCATACAATACCAGGGTAATTAAGGTTGATTCAGCCGATTCAAACTGCTCAACTTCAAACCAGTGAGGGCATATGGTCTTCTCATGGTTGATATAGGCATGTAAGTACCAAGTACTTACTACTTCGTGCTCCATGCACCCAGCAATTACACATGGCTTTGTAAATGATATGCCGCTACAATAGTCAATTCAATTTTACCATTTTTCCCTCGGCTGTATTATTTTCAGTTATTGTTTTGGAGGGGTGTGGGGGTGCAGGTGCGCTCATGTTGGGGTGCATAGCTTTTGTTTCTTATATAACGATCATTGGCTTGCTTGGTAAAAATATTTCTAAACAAGTGTATAGGAAAATTGAAAAATTTTGTTTTGGTTGTTGAGATTAGCTAAGTTACCTTTTGAAATATGACATTCCTCGGTTTTATAAGCTGTGTTCCGATTCATGACAACTTATCTTGATTTCAGTCCCTTAGAAACCTTGGGAATGCATTTATGGGCTCCCACAGATTTTCTTGAGAAATCCCTTTGGAGTGCTTCACATAAGTTGGATTTTTTTCTTATAATTTTTTAGCTATGTGATGTCGCGTTAGAGATGTGTGGATGGAAGAAATACATCCAACCAAATCACAAGCAGTAGACGTGAAGCGTACTTTCTGGCTTATACATACTCAAATGCACCAAGGAGAATTTGACTCGACCAACGCACGCATAACTGTGACAAGTTAATGCATCAGTTATACCACACCTGAAGAATTTGGCACTTGACACAGCCAATGCATAACTGTGTTCGGTCCCGCTCCAGCTAACCTTCGGTAGTTTTAGTGGCTTGTGGGCACTGTGGCAAAGAAAGATAGAGGCTTTATCTGTGCTAATAACGATCAAGTTTCATCTTTCAATTTTCGCTCTATTCAGAGGGGGAAACAAGAAGGAAAAATAATTCTTATGATCGCTGAATTCACTACCCCACCTTTAATCTGGCTGTTACTGAGGTTATGTGAAACAGGGACAATTATGTTTTGAAGGAGGAAACTTTATTTTATTTTTCTAGTTTTTGCTAGGAGTGACGAGGAACTAGATAGAATTGGTAATGGTTGAGGCAGCTGCTGGACTTTGCAGCTGGGCCTTAGCTTATAACTAATCACATTCCAAAGGACCTTATACCCTTTTGTCAGATCCCAAAAATATTTGTTTACTTGCTTAAGTCCTAAATCCCACCTGACTTGTCAGCCAACGGAGTTTTGTGATTTTTCTGGCATGACTTGGCAAAAAAGTACCTTTTTCAGTCGATCATTTGCATGGAATGTTCTTATGACAATGAGGATACAGCCTACGGCCACGGGTGCCAGTTGATTATTTGGTGCGGTCAGGGACAAGTTACAAAGAACCTCTAAATAAGCTGTCCTCCCCGTTGCGTGTCCCCCTCGTATCTTAACCTTTCTAGGTACTAGAAGACTTTAAATCTCAACTCCCATTGATTATGAAATTTCTATGGGTTTTATCAACATCCATATCTTTTATTTTTTTAATTGTTTTTAATTGAAATTCTTGTGTTTTTTTTTATATTGATTCAGAACTTTAACTTTTTATTTTGCGTTATTTGCGATCTTCCGTTATAAATATATTAGTTGTGAGGTGATATGACATTAAAGTAAAGCGTCTATTCTAAATATATATTACATGTCAAATTTGAGATTTCAATTAGAAAAAAATTAACATGTAAGAATTTGATTACACAAACTTTAAAAAGTATAGATCAAAACATGTTTATGGATACTTTGAGGACCAACATAGTATGAATAAAGGATCAAATGGTAGAAAAACATTTATTTTAAAGACTAAAATAACTTTGACCAATTTAAATGGTTAATAAATGGTTAATAAATAAATGAGTATTAAAAAGTTTAAAAAAGTTCAAATATTTGACCAATTTAAAGTGAAAAGTGAGATTGCTCTCTTAAAAAAAAACTTACTGCCCCACTTTTTTTTTTTTTAATATAGATAATTAGCTACTAGTTAGTACTATTATAGTTTTTATTTTAATTTTGACAAACATGTTTGTATTTTTTTTTTTATTGATTGCATGTTAGGCTTGTTTTATAAGTATTTTATTATTTAAATTTTTTTTTAAAAAAATACTCTTTAGAGTTTTACTCGAATTAGATCTCACATATGATATGTTTTGTTACATTCAAGTTCAAATTTGAAAACACAATAATATAGAAATTAAAAAAAAATTAATAACTTACTTTTAAAATTGTTTTGATTGAATCTTTTTATTAGATTTTTACATATGACCAATATTAAGTATTTAAAAGTAGAGTTGTCTCGTCAGTACTACGCCAACTAACAATTAATGATATTGACATGGAATCTCAAACAATACAAAATAAAAATAGAAAATTTCAATAAAAAAATATAAAATCTTAATTAAAATAATTCAAAAAATAAAAATCCAAATACGGAAAAAACTTAAATTTCTATAACTATAAAAATAATTTATAAAATAGAAAATCATCTGGCACCATCATTAAGAGGATTCCCCAACTTGTTTTCTATGAAATTACAGAATCCATACAGTGGATGTTGAAATATATTGAACTCCTAACTCTTCCAGGTTTTTTTTTAGATGTTAGAATCGTTTGTTTAGATATGATGAATTCAAATTTATTATTCAAAACTTTGAAGATTCAACGAAAATTCGAAATGCTAAAAGAGTTTTAAATCTGTACTGTGCCTCCTTTCTCTGTTTTAGGTGAATTTGTCAAATCATGGTGTCATTATCTATTGTTTCGTTGACAAAAGGTGCATTTGCTTTATTCCAGAAGTTCGTTCGTAAAATATCAAATGGGCAATTTTGAAGCTCAACAAAATAAAGAAATAATGTTTGAAACACATGATCATTGAAGTAGGAAAAAATTAGCATTTCTTTCACCAATAAGCTTTAAATTAAAAACTTTAACAATACATCTATTATTATTTTTATTATTGCTGGTTGTTTTACCTGGCACTAATTGAGAGTTCATAAGATATTCTTTCATTTAACATGTAAATATGTATTTCTTATTTAGTGCATCCATCTCAAGATTTTTGGAGGGGTGGAAGTCTATGATTCCTACTAAACTTTCACTAACTTCATCTTACCCTATTATTTTCCAATTAAACCTTAGTTAACAAAAACACGAGACCAAAAGTTTCCATTTGTAATATTATTTATATTTTAAGAGCAACTTCAAAATTTCAACTCAACAACACGTTGCATTTATAGAAGACGAAGTATATCTTATATATATATTTCATAGAATTTTATTCAGCTTTAATCATATAATTTTGTTTTTTTGTCATACTAATCTTAATTTTGTATCTGAGGAGCCCAACTTAGACAATAACCCATGCATAGCGTGGATATTAGCCAGTTACGAAGTTTTTTCGAAAAACAGTACAAACTTCTATATATATATATATATATCTTATACTCTTATACCAAAAAGTAGAATGCTGGACGAACGAAAGAGAGAAAGAAATAATAATTAATGAATGAGCTAATTTAATTGGACTAAAGAAAGTAAAAAGAAAAGAAAAGCAACAAAAAAAATCAGGTAGCTGAAAATACGTTAGGACACACAAAAAGGGTAAAAAAAAAAAAAAACTAAATAAAAAAAAAGTTGAAGAAGAAACGAACGAGAGCAAAAGGGTCTTCTATCACGCCAAACCTCTCTCTCTCTCTCTCTCTCTCTGATAAAAGAAGAAGATATATAAATATGTGTAATAATCTGTAAGTTTTCAAAACCTTAGCTGTTGCTTTGCTTTGCTCCCTTAAAATGTATCTGGATCTTGTAATTTGAATTATTTTATATTATAATTTGAAATTGGCAATTTCGCTTTTGTTTTCATCGAGAAAGAAACTAATTAGGGATCCAAAACTTGCTTGAATTCTGTGTTTTTTTTTTAATTACTTATTTCTTTGCAGATTCAAAACAGAATAAATAAATCTCGCTCTTGAGTGAGAGTTTTTGCATTTAATTTTTAGAGGAAAAAGGAAAGAAAAAGACGGTCTGAAGGGGTGTTTTGGAGAGGAAGCGGGGGAGAGATGAATTCAAAGAAGACAGAAACTACATCAGCACCGCCAATACTTAGAAGAGACCCATATGAAGTATTGTCGGTATCAAGGGATTCTAATGATCAGGAGATTAAAACTGCTTATAGAAAACTTGCTCTCAAGTAAGTCCTTTCTTTACTTCTGCTATGCTATTGAATTTCTGTTGAGAGTTAGGATTTGCTGGTTGTGTGTGATTTTTGAGCTAAAGGGCATTGCTTGTTTTCGATTTCGGAGTTGAAAGTTTGTTTCCTTGTTGCTCATTTTTATGAGCTGAATCGGGTTTTTGGTATTATCAAGTTAGGATATTAATCTATGCTTGAATAGAGCACTACATAAATTTACTCGACTGAATTTGTTGTTGGGTTGGTGTTCGTATCTCATAATTAAGTGAGAAATTGGGAATTCGTTTAGTGGGACCTGATTTACGAACAGTGTAATCTGAGCACATTTTTGAAAGATAGCATGTCAATGAGCTGGAATTTTATTTTAAGCTTGCTTGCGTATAACTTGAATAATCTATGAGTATGATGCTTTTGTTTTGTTTGGGGACTGTTTGGTTGTACTATGGGAGTCATTATGTTCCCATCTGTGTCCTACTTACAGTCTTATTCTATCATCCAAATGGGTCGTAGATGCAGACCATCAATCTGATTAGAAGTGGAAAATTGAGGTCACTCAATTTGATGAAATTGCTAACACTTTGGTAGGGTATAAGTAAAAGATGGGGAGGGTACTGGAAGCTTTGTTTCCTACTGTCTAATTAAGGAAACAGAAGTTTCAGTCCAAGAAGAAAAGGTTTTTATGAAAAATTTTCTTTGCATCCCGGCTGCATAGGTTTGGTGGAAGGCAAACCAATTTCTTCCCTTGATTTTTCCATCACGGCAAATGAACAAAGTTACAGATATTCCTTCCCTTCTTTTTGGCTCAAATGGTTCCTCTGTTTTCATTTCACCTTTTCCCTTCATTTCCTTTTATCTTCTACTAAATGGAGTATAAGGCTATGTTTAACAGCAAAAAGTTCGGGTTAAAAAAGTGCACATTTTGGAACTGGAAGTCAACATTGTCAAATATATTCAGAATCTAGTTCCACTCGATTAATATTTTGAAGCTATATATCCACATGACATAAGCAGAATAACATGATAATACACAAGTACTACACGATCAGTTTTATGATGGCTTTATTTGTCTTTTTATGGTCTATACAATGTGATTCTGAAAAGGTACATTGGATAAGAAAGAGAATTTAGCCATTTTACCATCAAATCATTTTTAATTATTCTCTTTGTAGATAAGTGATTTATTTTTTTTGACAAGTTCCCTATATTCTCCTCTGTTTCAAGAACTTTCATGCTCATTGTATAACATGCCATTTTTGTTGTGGTAATCATTTGTTCAATGATGGTTGTTGGTCGATATTGATGTCAATTTAAGTATAATCTTATGGTCGCTAAGAAGTAAATCTTGGACAGGTATCATCCAGATAAAAATGCTAGTAATCCTGAAGCTTCAGAACTTTTCAAGGAGGTTGCATATTCATACAGTATATTATCTGACCCTGAGAAGAGAAGGCAATATGACAGTGCAGGGTTCGAGGTGCTTCTGTCAAGCTCTCTCTCTTTCTCTCTGTAATTCCATATTACATTTTTAATATACGATGTTTATTGCTCCGTGATGTGAAAAATCATACTGGATAGTGTAACTTGAGCAGCCTTTTTGTGCAGTTAACGGGAACTTCCCTATGGGAGTTATAAACGACAGTTGTAATTACCAAAAATAGGAATGACTAGTGAAACATAAAAGATAATAATAAATAGAGGTGCAGCACCTAGACAACTAAACTTAGTAATAGCTTTCTTTCATGTTATATGTTTTATTTATGACAACACATTCTAATTTTTTGGACTTGTATAATCATTTCTAATCAGGCTCTGGATGTTGAAAACATGGACATGGAAATTGATCTGTCTAATCTGGGAACTGTCAATACAGTGTTTGCTGCATTATTCAGGTGATTTGAGTTGGAAGTATTTGGATATTGCTTTTTTTTAAAAAAAAAGAAAACTATTTTTAAGTTTCTTTTGTTGTTTATAGCAAGCTTGGTGTCCCTATCAAGACTACAATTTCTGCTAATGTTCTTGAAGATGCTCTTAATGGAACTGTCACTGTCAGACCCCTCCCTGTCGGTACATCAGTCAGTGGGAAGGTACTTGCTAAGTTTATGACTGATATAAGTTATAACCATACTCTTCATTTTTCTTGACCTATTTGAGCTTAATTGCAGGTGGACAAGCAATGTGCCCACTTCTTTGGTGTAACAATAAATGAGCAACAAGCTGAGGCAGGGATTGTTGTGAGAGTAACTTCAACAGCACAAAGCAAATTTAAGGTTGTTTGAATTCCAAGTGCGATGAAATAAGGAATTTTTAGGCCCAGTGCCTCTCCACTTTATATCTGCTTCCATTATTGTTCTTTTAAGCCAATATAACAGCTTTGTGTTGCATTTCTTGATTTGCAGTTGCTTTATTTTGAACAAGATGGCAATGGTGGCTATGGTTTGGCCTTACAGGTACTATTCCTTTCTTGTACTCCTTTATGTTTATAGTTTCTACCTTATTGAAGGGAAAAAATTCTTTAAAGTTTTCGAGTGTCAGTGTTCCAAAATCGTGAATGACAGCTTAAAGAAGTTTTGTATTGTTTTAGCTTTTATTGCTATATTGAAAGCTTGAAAAATGTTGCAACACCATTAACAAAGTAAGTGTGGAATGAAGTTCTGTACCTTTGTTGATGACGTGGTGACATTTTTAATGTTTATTGCCACATCTTTACTGGCTTGCTATGAGTTTGGATGACAATGTTGCTTATCCTCAATTATGACAAGGGCTTGTTAGGATTTTTTACCCAATCAGCTCCTACATATTAAGCCATCCGAGTTCCAAAATAACTACTCAAATTCTGTATCACTGCTACCTGAATATCTGATTCCTACCACTTAAGGCACCTTTTAAGTTTTGAATCTCAAAATATGCAACCATAATAATATATTTTGTGGTTTCAGGCAGTAAATGTTCATTTTCCAATCCTTTCTCACCATTAGATACACAAAAACAGATTATACATTGTCATACCATCAATTAGTCAAGAATTTATCAAATAAGACCAAAAAAAAAAAAAAGAGAGAGAGAGAGAGAGAGATTTAAAGAAGAGTCAGAGATGGAGAGAAACGAGAGGAAAGAAGACACAGAGAGAAACATACGGCTTCCCAACCAAGTTAGAAGTTCAAAGTTGTTTATTGGACAAGTTGTACCAACCATAAGGCTGTCCTCTGTTATATGGATTTTCTGTATTACTGGTATGTGATATCGCTGGCATGTAATGTTGGATCAATGTGTTGGATTTAATTAATGACTCATAGCTACTTGATTTTATGGTGTTGAAACTTTCTATGTTGAGCTTTATAAAGCTTTGAGATTGTGCAGACCACATGCATCAGAGTGTATATTTTGAGTCACCTTGAGAAAATCACAGAAAATTAATTTAATGGATTATTGGATTACTGGAGCTCCTGGGCAAGGTCATTCCTTCCTGAATTTAATGGATTATCTTTTCATGGAACATCTATATATTTATTTTTTGTTATTCTCTAAGCAATTATGCCAAAAGAGTGCCTGCTTCATGTATACCACCAGTATTCCTTGTAAGCGAAAAGTTTCTTACTTACAATCTAGTTCATCTGCTAGCTTACAATAAAAAAGAAGTGAACCAATTAGTGTTGTGTTTAACTAGCCTACGCCATAAATATATTGGTGTCAAACTTCCAAGGATCATCCTAGAATATTTGCTTGGGCCACTTAGACATGTATTTAAATTTTCTGTATGAGCTGTTTAGATGCATGCTTAAATCATCAATCACTGTCTGGTGGTCTTGTAACAACGCGATGCTTGCGGATGCCACAAAACTAACTATATTTCCATCTCTGTACAGGAAGATAGTGAGAAGACTGGCAAGGTGACATCTGCAGGGATGTATTTCTTACATTTTCAAGTGTACAGAATGGATTCAACTGTGAATGCGGTATGAGTTTCCATCCTGTTACTTAATTTTTTCCTTGTCTTTTTACTTTGGCGGATGTTAAGCAATCTTTGTCCATATGATGTTGGTGCAGTTAGCAATAGCTAAGGACCCTGATGCTGCTTTCTTTAAAAGGTTGGAAGGTCTTCAACCTTGTGAAGTTTCTGAACTGAAAGCTGGGACTCATATATTCGCTGTTTATGGTTGGAGTGATTTTCTGTGTCTTTGAGTATTGGATTAATTATCTTACAGAATTTTTATCGGTCTGACATTTACCGACTCTTTCAGGAGATAATTTCTTCAAGACTGCTACCTACACGATTGAGGCACTTTGTGCAAAGACTTATGAGGATACCACAGAGAAGCTCAAGGATATTGAGGTTCAAATTCTTAGAAAAAGGAATGAGCTACGTCAATTTGAGACAGAGTACCGAAAGGTAGAATCCGCTTTTATTGATGTGGCTTGCATTGGTATTGTGCCCGTTTGTTGTTGAAATTCACTTATAATGTTTTGTAGGCTTTGGCACGCTTCCAAGAAGTAACCAACAGATACAGCCAGGAAAAGCAATCTGTATGTTTCAAAACCTTGAAGTCTTCTGTCAGATTTTCTTATTCTATGCATGTGCAATTTTTCCTGACTAACTTAATAACATACAAATGCATATATGTATTTTACTTACTGTAAATTTCCTTTGAATTTTTTTTTTTTTTTTTTGCGGAGCTGAGTTCATTGCAAGAGGAGAACAGGGTATCTCATGGCTTGGTCATAGTGATAACATTGACCTTATATCTCCTCTTTCCTCTCTTCAGAAAAGAAAAGTTAATGTGATAGATAAAATGTGAAAATTAGTTTTTACAATAAGGGAATTACATGTAGCATCTTATTGTACAACCTCTTGCCACCTGAAAATGCTGAAAAGCTTTCTGTCTAAAATTGCTTTCCCAGCCAACTTAGTATTTGATATCTGTGAAAGTGGAACCCAAGTCTTTTTTCCATGTCATTGTTGAATCGAAGCTGGCACAGTTACTCTGGTTCCATAACTTCTGGTCACACTGCATGTTGGGGTCCCAGGTTCATTTTTTTTAGCCCACCTCATCATTTTGGTTGCTGCAGGTTGATGAGCTTCTGAAACAGCGTGATAACATACACGCATCATTCACTGTAACCAAGACTGTAAGCTACTTAAGTAATGGAAGTACGAGCAAAGTTCTTGGGGATGATTCAAAAGCAGAGTCTCCAGTGGAAGATGGAAGCTCTGATGGAAAGGATAAATCATCCAAAAAGAAATGGTTCAACTTGAACCTTAAAGGGTCAGAGAAAAAGTAGACTTAAAAAGGTATTTTAGATGATTTTGTATTGCTTTGAGGGATTTGACTGGATATCCATAATTGGGTTTAGTACATGGGTCTTTCACTTAGCGTGCAGAGACTTGCCTTGTATTATTTGTTTGATTTTTTATATTTTTCCTTTTTAGGGGTTTACTGAGGTGGTTTATTATGGCTTTTTTCCTCGATATGGTTCTGTAAGTTTTCAAAGTCTGAATGTAGCTATGTATAATTTTTAGTTCATATTTTCTTAAAACTGTACCCGTCTTCTTAGTTCATGTAGAACCTGAGCATTTGTTGTAATACTTCCAAGTGAAATAAAACATTCTTTTGGTTTACTCTTTCTTCATGTATCTGTGATGAAGTTGGTTTTAGTTGGATTTTTTTTTCCTATAGGAATGGTTTTTCTTAATATTTCTGTTTGAGGATTTGATCATTCAATTGAATAGGTTCTGCACATTAATAACATTATAATCTAGCTGGCATTCGTACATGAAAGCATTATTGTATTCAGGTTTTGCATGTTTATAGAATTTCTCCTTTCCTAAAATAAGATTATTCAATCAATCTGATGACCAGTGACTAGATGTTCAACTACTTCAATCATGTTCTAACCTGGGTTGAGACTCTGAAACAGTTGTGAAGACAGAACCTAACATCCTTGGAAGTCCCAACAAATTGCATGTCGAAATGGTAAATCTTTTTTCCCCGGAAAATCAACATGCAATCAAATTTCATTGCGGATGGTAATTTTATGGAAGAAATTCCGTTGCCATTTTATAGTACCCATTGAAGGAATTTTTTGAGGAAAAATACCTCCGGTTTACTGTCTCAGAAATAGCTCAACCTTTTGGATTAAATTTCGTCAAGATTTTTCTCTGGGAAAGGCTTTCACGACAGCTACATAAATGATATAAACTTTTCCCAACAAAATTTAGTTGGGAAAAAGCTTTTCTGACGGAAGGAGTTTTACCAACTAAAATCATATTTAACTACCAATTTAATTAGTAAGGAGAAGTCCTAAATCAGTTTCACTGACTATTATTGTCTTCATATTGGTTTACACATTGAAGGCAATGCGTCCTCAAAGGGACATTCCAATGACTATGATTTAGGAGTTCATTGAAAAGTCTCATCTTCAAATTTTAGGAGCGCATGAAAAATTGAAAATTTAGGGATTGGATTTGGGGGTGGGTTTATCCCAACTGTGTGGCCTAAAATCTGTTAAGTCTTCCGTCCTTTAAAAAAAATTGCCAAGAGAAAGAGTAAAGTATAACTCGGCTCCCATATGTTTAAGAAATAAAACTTTAGTCCATTTAATTTTAAAAAAGTAAACAATCAACTTATGTATTTCCATTCTAGTTTATAGCTAAGTCTCTCGGATTTTCTTTTACTCAAAAATTCTGAACTGGCATCGATTTTTCATTTAGTTTTGTTATTGACTTGGCATTTGACAATCAGATATATTCAAATGATTAATAGTTGTTTTTTAAATAGAGGGATTAAAATATTTATTTCATAAATATATAGGGACTAAGTTATAATTTACTCTCAATTAGAGAAATTAAAAAAAAAATAGCTTGCGATGATGAGTTAGAGTAAGAGAATATGAAACAGTACCATCTTAGGTTATCTGTTTAAGAAATAGAATAAAAATAAAAAAATGTTAGGATGACTTAATGTGCACAACACAAGTAACATGAACTCCATTTCTTTTAATCAAATTTCTTGTCTTGACCTGTGTTGAATTAAGAACCAATTAGCACCTGCAGTTGTGGTTAGATCCTTGTATCTACTTGGATTTTTCCAATCAAGGATTAATTGTTTATACGTACAGAAGAGAAGGATCTTTGTTATAATATGTACTTACAAGGCAGTTATGAAATGCTTGAACCCATAAGATTCCAGCCTCTTATTTTTCTGTTGAAACCTTATAATTCCACATGCGCATTCATAAATTTATAGCAAGGAACAAGAACTCTATGATTCCAATATTTGTTAACATAGATTACCTAGCTACTACAGCCTTGAGTAGGTTTCTTGTTACATTTTTACTTGTGGGTATAAGATTTAATTTGCTGGCAACTTCAAGCCTCTTTTTTTTCTTTTTATAATGATTTAAAATGCTAAAGAACGATTTGTGTTTACTTTTGGAAAAAATTTCTTTAAAAAAGAAGAAGAAGAAGAAGAAGAAAGAGAGAGAAGGTGTTTAGTGACGGTAATTAGAAATTGCAGTATTCTATCGAGCTTGCTAAGCTAAATACTATGGATCCTCACTTGAACAAGTAGCATAAATCTTGAAGCAATACACGAGCACAACTATTGTCCTGACAGGTATATCTCATCGCTTCTATGGCGAAGACAAACAAAAGTTCGTACAAGTAGGTTAAACTAATCATTTTATATAATTAACATAATACCATAAGTTAAGTATTAAATATCATCTCATTTAAAAGTTTAAGCCATCAAGTGAAATTTAAAATTATGATTTATATTATTTTCTAACACACTCTTCAAGTAAAAACATAGATTCGTATTACCTTGTACTTAATATTTAAGAAAATGAGAATGGTGAGACTTTAACTCATTAAACTTAGGATTACTTTATCATTCAATCTTTAATAATATTTCAAAAGATCATTTCATTCAAAACTTAAATTATCATGTAAAGTTTCAGAATATGATTTATATTAATTTCTATCACTAAGAGAATCTTTGTTATGCAACAAATTTTAAGGTGGTCGGTATAATTTATCCGAACTTTCTGAGCCTAGAAAAAGCAAGATAAATTTCCCAGTTGCTTCTTGTAGGTGAGGCAGCATCAGCAAGATGTTCTGTTAGACAAATGCTGCAATGTGTTCAGTCACTGTAATGAACCAATACCATATAAATGTGCTTGTTTATTTAAGTGGCGAGAATTACGCATAGACTAATTACCATAGAAAACACAAGTGGCAAAAACTTATTTGATTATACTATAAGAATTGTTGGACTATAAGTTGTTGTCATGTCATGTGCAGATGTTTCCCAACTATATGGCTTTTGGGTTAGATGTTTTGTGGCCGTCTAGTGTCTTGCTTTCTTAAAAGACCAAAGCACATTTATTTTTGTCCCATTGATTGACCAAAGTCCTCTGCTTCCAAACTTATTTCACGGGCTGGATGGGATTCATATAAGCAATGATTTATTTATTTATTAAATGGTAGCCATTCTATACTGTAATCGAAGTTTTAAGTGCTTAATGTCATGTTGACAATATGATTGATTTTTTTATATATTTTTTTAATTGGGGTTTAGCAAGACAGAGAAAAAAAGGTCACCTCACATGACTTAAAGCTAGCTCCACCCAACCCTACTCCTACTTTCTTACATGTACATATATATATATTTAATGAAGTAGGTAGTGTCACTTGGAGTACATGGAAGGCTTCTTCAGAGTAATACCCACAGTGTTTGGGATTGTTATTTGAAAAAAGAAATTAATGCTCTGAACATATCCATAAAAGGGATTTCCAACTTGAAAACTAAGTCACATTGGGGCTATCTTTTTATCCTTTTTGGATCCTTCCAAAGTCATGGTTGCACAAGGGAACATGGATGATTAGAAAGTTAATGGAGTTCTAACATGATAGGATCGTGTCTTCAAATAAATCTTTCTTTAAATAATGTTTTTATATAGAACTCATTGGTTAATTTTCTTTGATAAGCACAACTTTGGTGGGCCATCTATGCGATTCTGGTGATCTTATATGATAATATCGGCATCCCTTCAATCAACCAACAAAGTAAGCATGATTAAGGCCCCTAAAAGTGTTTTTATATTAGATGGTGGAAACCATTAATAAAGAAGGAAGAAAAACATAACCTTTGTTAAGAGGACAGTTGTTGATGAAGGAACACGATTGTAGAAAGTATGATTGGACAAATCTTTCACCACCCTACCCTAGCTACTAGCAAAGCTGCTTAAAACTCTTTCCTATTGCCACAAATTTGCAATGCGGTCCCACTGTACCCTATGATGGGGTGGATCCTACCATGTATAGTTGGTTCAAAAACAGGGAGAGACCAATTAGATTTACCCTCACATGTGTCACCCTCCATTAGTGGAGAAATCCTTGTGCCTATGTCAACCCACCAATCTTAACAAATTCATATACAACTGACAATTCCTTCCTTAACCATGGCGGCCTCTACTACCACCCACCTTCTGCCTATAATTCATGCTTTTATCGACAAGCCTTGTTATATTCTTTAGGGTTTGTCTTATATTTGATTAATTCATCGGCGCTACAAAGACTAGGGAGCTTCAGCTGATCGCGGTTTTGCTAGCTAGCTCCTCAAGCACAGGGCATATTGGAACCCCTTAAATCTACCGTTTATTATTATTAGTAACCTCTCATTTATGAATTTGAAATTCATTTATCAAAGCGTAAATTATAACCTACTTATTACACATATAGTCTTTTTTAACTCAAAAACTATAGATTTAATCTTAATATTTTTTTTTAACATAAACAGCTTTAAACTAACGATTGTGTATCTAATTAGTTTTTTTAATAAAGTAAAATTTAAGTTTTAGTAATTTTTTTTAATGATTATGTAATGGGAAGTATTACTACTATTGTGTAGCCCAATAAATCCATCGAGCCTCTAAAAAATAAAAATAAAAATCTTAATATTTTTAAACCCTTAAATCTGTTCATAGCAAAACCACCATACTCGAGTTAATTACTAAGAAGTACTACAAGCTGTTGTGATATCTACCCGGCACAAGTACCGGTTTCCACAGCCATATTTATGCGTTTGTGTGTGAACTCTTTTAACCTTTTATGGCTATGACTTCTCACATTTAGTCACTTGAGTACATTTTATTTCCAAGTGAGAAGAAGTACTTCCTGAGCCCCCATGGTGGGGTAGGATAGTGGCCCAACCTCTGTTTGTATTTTTTCTTTTCCTTTTCTAACCTTCTCAGGATTGAGAAAAGACCTAAAGATCGAAAAAGGTCATTGGATCCAGCATACTAAAGCCAAAAGGCGTGTGGTTAGGTTTAGGAAAGCAATTTTCTAAACCAATGGAGATCCCGATAATCTAACCCCTAAATCTATATATGTACGTTATTATTATCAATTAAGCTCCTCATCACTGTCCACCGTTTAAACCCCATTCAAGGAACTTCATCAAACATAACGGGACCCACATAAAACTATTCACCAACGGGTCACCACAACTATCCCATCACATCCCCAATCTTCATATGCATTCAAGTAGATAAGAAAAAATTGGTTAGATTAAAAGGGAGAAACGATATCGAAGAAGCCACGTACTATATTTCAACCGCTGGTCATGATAACCTAACTTGACCTTCGGTTTTTTCACCAGTAGTTTTTAAATCTAATGGCAACCTCCTAGTAATTTATAAATAAAATTTCTCATTTGTTTATTTGTTATTTTATTCATAAAATGAGTATACATATAGATTGAACATACATAATATAGAAACATTATGTTTTATATATAAATATATATTTGAAGAACATCCTACCATAACTACGTCCAAATCAACTTTTAATTAGAATATTTAAAGAAAATGTAGTTAATCACAAATAGATATGTCATATGACAAAAAAGAAAAAAAAGAACAACTATATTGGAAAAAAAAAAGTGTTAATGAATTTTCTTCTTACCATCTAAACCACCTAGTTATTCTATTGCTTAGTAACAACCATGTTTGATTGCCAAATCTAACGGTCGAAAAAGAACATAAGCTTTCTACTGAAAGGTGATCATCAAGATTCATGGGAGATATTGACAAGCCTTCTTTTTTTCTTTTTTCTCTTACATGGGGAAATTTGACCAAGTGAAAGAGGCCTTTTGAATAAAACACACACAAGAAAGAGGAGACAAAGGTGGGTCATACCTTGGAGTTGTGATGAAGACTTTGCAAGTAGGTTTTCAATAATTATACACAATAATAATAATTATGATGCTCTTCGTGAAGTGGGTTATTACAAATTTGATAAAGAAGCTCTCTCTCTCGTAGTTAGTAAGATTCGGAGAGATCTCTCAAAAAGAAATAAATCCATTTATTAATGAAGATCTCAACGTCAATCACGCAAACATCCTAAACATGATTCATCATCAGCACGTAATGGTAGGACCATATCATAGTTGTAAGCACCTGAACATTCATATTCATTCAATTCATACCATCCAGCTAGCAAGTCCTATGTAGTTTCTTGTTTATTTATTATATATACTATGGCCTTTCAATTAAGTTAAAGCAACTAGCTAAGCTAGAGCTAAATTTCTAGCTTCCCATGTTGACTTCAATTCACCCAAAAAAAAAAAAAAAAACAACTACCATCATTATTGGAGGAGAGAGAGAAGCCGATCATACAGAAAAAGAAATATAAATATAGAATAATGTTATTTTTACATATTTCTTTTACCGAATTCATTTATCCAAAAATATTAATCATTGAATTTATAAAAAAAATAATAAAATATATTTATTTAATACACGAGATATTCATCAAATATATAATTTTGTTTTTTTTTTTTTTTTATAAATGATTTTGTAACACAATGAATTTCTCAAATATATACATAATGTGAAACATGCATATCTAACGCTAGATATGGAAGATAATTGAGATCGCGAGAGGTGGGCCATAAGAAGTGATTAGTGTGGGACTTTGATGGCGTTCGATCTTGAATGTATCTAGTTGTTTTAGGATATGGATCGTATGATGTTAGTATTTAATGTCTTGCATGCATGGATCAATGTTTTGACTTTTGAAAGTAAGTATACATGGTGGGTGGTGGTGGTGGTGGTGGTGTGTCGGCTCCTGAGATTGAGCCAAGGGATGCAGTAGCTTTGGACTGTGAGAGAAAGAGAGGCTAAAGGGATAAAAATGGAAACAAAAGACATGTCTACAGTTGAAAGAGGGAGTTATGTTCTGTAAAGTTTTGGCATTATTAAATATTTAGCAGTTGAGAAATCAAGTCAGGAAGCAGAGACATGGGTCTCATTGGGGTTCGTTCCACTACATTCATTTAAGGTCAATAAATTAAGATTACGAAATTGCCCAGATTATTAAAAGATGATTAAAGATATAATCGTATGTGCAATTTGATTAATTTTATGTTTAAAGAATGTTTAATCCAAGGTATGGAAGAGCATGGCATTAACATTATATATAGTACACAGGTACGTTTGTGTGTCACGTACGAAGTGGTTAATTAGGACTTGTCCATTATGTGAGTTGGAGTATTAATTAGTGTAGCCAATAAAGTCTCTTTAATTAGTTGATCAAACCAATTTGTTAACTTCTAATTGGTCACCTTAACTATACTTTTCATCATCTATGAAGTGAAAGCAAGTGGTCCAGATCATTCGTGCAAAGTTTTCCAACCTAATTGCAATAATAATAATAATAAGCTTCCTCTCTTTGCAGAACTTGATTCGTGCAAAAGAACTCTCCAAGGAATCTCTTCGTGCATAATTGTCTTGGCTTGTTGGAGGATGTAAGCTAGTCTTGTGGTCTTGGACGATAATATAATAGGGCTCTTCTGCTATCTTCTTTTTTGAAGGATGGACGTAGATGACCTAGTCAACTAATTCAACGGTTCATACCAATTTAATTTGTTGCCCCACGAAACTATCAAGTTCGATGAACTTATTTTATTGAATACTGATATGATGTTGAGACTAGCTAGCTAGCTACTCAATTTTTAAGCACTGACACGATCAAGCAAAGACATTTAATAGTTTCAATCAAAATAATGGATTCTTACTTAATCATTAATTTTAAACTTTTAAACAATGCCCCACCTTCACATCACATGCATTGCCACTTTCTTAATCCCACATTATAGAATTTAATATAGACAATTGAAGCTTCTAAATTGAGTAGTTATTTAATACTGTATTAGAGTTTTTTTTAAAAAAATTTAAATGATAAAAAAAAAGTTACAAAATTGTAATGATTTTGTGAACTAAAAAAACTTAATATTGTGAATTTTTTAATTCAAACAATAATATAAAATTATTTTTAAAATCTCGCACATATGACATAATTTTTTGGTTTAAAATGTTAATTGATAATTGTATGTTACCTAGTTTCTTTGCATCAAATCCCTCTTTTTTTTTCTTTTATATTATACATATACAAATGCTAGCTAGCTAAATAAATTTAAAAAGAATAAAATAAACTATGCAATTTAATTACCACAATTATGTTTAATTAGTTATGAACTAATGGGACTATTATTGAATTGTATACCATTGTCTCGCAAAGGTCATTCTTGCAATTTACCCCCATACATACTATAAAGTTAACAAACAGAATACTGGTGTTATGCAATAGAAAGATTTTTGGCGGAGACAGGTGCAATCCTTTTGGGTCCAGAGTGCTCTTGGTTCGTGTTCCCAAATACCATCACACACTTTCTTTTCCTTGGGATGTCCGCAACCATCTCTCTCTCTTTCTCTATTACATACCACAACACTCTTTTTAATCGATCCATTGTTTTTTTTTTAAAAAAAAAAAAAAATCTTGTATATATACCCCACTCATGCAACGCCTTACCTTATACTTCACACACTCATTTCCCACGCCTCTCTCTGTCTCTCTCTAAATAAGTCTCTGTTACTTTGTTTACCTGTCTAAGTTTAAAATGGCAGAGCTAGACTATGAAACAAAACACAGCTCAACCACTACAAGCTTAAAACTATTCGGCTTCAACGTCTCGGAAGATGAAGAACTAATAAATACAACAGACTCTCTCAAGTCATCTTCTTGTAATTCTCCTGACTCCGGCTCTTTTGCTACAACGACAGCCACAGCTACGGCTACAGGAGACAGCAGGAAATACGAGTGTCAGTACTGCTGTAGAGAATTTGCAAACTCACAGGCCCTTGGTGGCCACCAAAACGCACACAAAAAGGAAAGACAGCAACTCAAGCGAGCTCAAATGCAAGCCACAAGAAACGCAGCTGCAGTTTCCTTTGGTAGAAACCCTATGATCTCTGCCTTTGCTCCTCCTCCGCATCTCCTGGCTCAAGCAGCTGGCCAGGTTGTAGTCCCGGCTGCTTCTCCGTCCTGGGTTTACTTGCCACGGTCGGCACCACCGTTTCATGTTTCACATGGGAGTGTGTTTCCTAATGGGGTGGGTGGGAGGGGTGTAGGGAGCTTACCGTATGGTGGCAGTGTAGGAGATTTTGGATTATCTTCTAGTGCAAGTGGACCACACCAACAAGTGCAAAGTAGGGCCCATATTAGCATGGTAGTTGATGATCATAATGGGCCTGCATCATTGAGTAGGTTCTCTAAAGGTGATGGTGGACCTAACATTGATGATAAATTGGGCTTGGACTTGCATCTTAGTCTTGCTCCAGCTGGGCCATGATTTGTTTTTAGGAGTGACTTGGAATAATACTTTTCAGGTCGGATATTTGTACATTTTCAAATTATATTTATTATTATTATTTTTTTTTTGTGATGATTTATTTCACAAGATCAGGCATTTCTTCATCATCACCATTTGTCTTTCCTAACTAGTTTAATTTTATAACTGACTGGCTAGCTTTAGCAAAATATTTGTTTGTTCTTAACAGTTTTGTTAATTCTATACATAATATGGTTGATTTTATCTGTGGACACACCTAAGAAATTTCTTTGAAATCACTTCCACTAGTTGTGCCTTGTGAGAGAGACTACGGATAAATGTTCTTTCGTGGGCCATATATATTTCATTTCTCATCATTACAGAATATAAGACTAATTAATTTACCAAAAAATAAAATTTTATTGAGTTATCCTTTCAATTTTATTTTTCTAACTTCAAATCTGTACAAATTCATATCACAGCATCTGACAACTTGGCACCAGGTACTAAAGGAAATATTGGTACTGTATAACGTTAATTTGGTGGCAATTTAACATGCGAGCACCATTATTATTAGCGTACAAATATTTATAAATAACATGCATTTTGCCAAATGCCAAGAGCCAAAGTTTTCAAACTTGTTAAAGTCAAAAACTGTTTCCCAAAACCGGTGCGCATTCATCTCATCCAGCCCTACCATATTTCCGTGTTCAATATTAATGTAAGCTTTGCTGAATTAATTGCCAATACAAGAAATAACATAAATTAAAGCTTAATTAATTATGAGAAAAGGAATGTTGTTTAACAAATCAAGTGTAGCCATTTTAGCAAATAACTGGAATTGACTGCCTCACTCCCCAACTGTTAGAAACCTTTAATTTTTATTTTATTTTTCTCCTTGTTATGATTTATGGAAATAAGCAATCCTTGCATCTCTCTGCTCGCGCTTTATCTAGTGGCTGCACTAATTAAAGTAGATGGTCAATATATGCCTATTGACGTACATTATGGGAAAGAGAAAAAGAAAAACTATCATTTCTTTGTAGAAAGAACCAAAGAAAAAACATTATTGCATGAATTAGTCTCCAAAAAACTAACAAATCGTTTGATTATATAGTATTTTCAGTTAGTGCCTCTTGTCAGCTCCCTCATCTCTTGGACTTTTTTGAGTGATTTAATGTGGGACCAATCACAGTTCGCAGTCCAAAATTTTCCGCGCAGTTGTAATCAAATTAATATTCGATTTGGAGTGCGGTGAAATCTGAACCTCTTATATATATGAAGAAAATAATGCCCATAGGTGCCAACTGCCAACAATATAAGCTTCTAATTATTGCCTTAATTAAGATCTTGTTTATCTCCTGTCCTTTTATCTTTTAATCAGAAACGTGGCCCCTTCATTACAAACCAAAAACAATTTGAAGCTTGTGGATAAAAGAAAGCTTGCGTGGAACCACTGAGACAGGATAATGCAAAGCGAAGCACATAACGCATCATTCTATCTCGGTTTCCACCAAATTTAAAAAAAAAAAAACAGTTCATGCAAACGGTCAATAAAGGTCATACAGGTGCCGATCTTCAAAATGCAAACCTCTTATTTCGGTGCAAAAGTGATTAATGTAGAACTTTACATATAGTATGAACATAATCACAAGGTCGCTGCTTTTAGAACATGTCTGTGTGGGATCCATAGCTAGCTTGGCTAACAATAAAAATTTGTATTACAAGCACCCATTTTTGCAGGATATGACTAGTAAAAATTGCTGATAGATCAGGCAGAACTTGGGAGATAGTACATAGGACAAGAAAATTCCAAGGATGTGATTGAATTTTGTTGCTTGAAATGTTAAAATGTTTTGGGGTTCGATATTGAAAAGTAGAGCAAGCAAACGCAATGATGCATTTGAAAACTTGTGCGCTAAGAAAAACTTTTTCTTTGGACCTTTTTACGTATGAATACATTTCCAAAAAGAACAACTCCTGGTGGCTATTGAGAGGAAGAGCTAAGAAAATCAAACCCATTCCCACAAGATCATGACTTTGCATTCAAAGCATATTGCTTGCTGGCGATTGGACCCCGGTGTCTTGCTTCATTGATGCCTTTAAGACTGATGTCGACTTGCACTTCCTAGGTAGCCAATCAAAATCCCTTTCTCAAAAACTTGTCAAAAGTGGGGAACCATTTCAATCTATGAACTTAGACATATTACAACCCAAAATGAGTTTAAAACTATCATTTCATACCTTTAGCACCAATTTCCAATCAAACTGTAATATATATAGTTGTTCATTGCCTAGTCACCGTGATCCAATCAAAATTTTGGCAATATTTAGCTTAAGTAGTTTGAATATTCAAACATGATTGAGCGCTCTAAAACGATCTAATTAATCAACAGTTCAACCGTAAGGAGGAGTGTGGGACCATGGAACAATACTGTACTCAACGAGGCAAGTCATCATTTATATAAAATGAGAGATAAGTACAGGACTACGTACTTCAAACTTTCGAAATGTAGTCATTTTAATGTCTTATTCCTTCAAAATTTCAGATAATATCGGAGACTTATAAATGAACTCATCTTATAGTGATACTTTGTACACCAAAAAAAAATAAATAAATCACTTCGACAAGAATACTTCATCTAACCACGGTGGTGAGATTCATCTACTACTAGTATGAATGCATAAGATTATGTATGGTGAAAAGCTTCTATAAATGAAGATTCGATCGTTCCTGAATCACTTTCCACCTCCAAGTCCAACTCACTTCTCATAGAAAATAAAACAAATATTAAATGAAAGGCATCTCACATAATAACTCTTGAAAAGAGACAATTTACGTCAATAAGAGATATTTTTTAAAAAATGATCGCCAAACATCTTTAAAAAGCTATTATACAAAAGATAAAAATCAATTACTCTTGATAAAAAAGAGAGCGTTGTAGAAAAAATAAGAATCAATTACTCTCTATAGAAAGACGAATATATTCTTCACTCTATGCAAGCTAGCTCATAAAAGACTCATAAAAGGATGAACCTTTGACAACTATAAAATGTTCTGTTTCTCTACTCACTAAATAATACTATGTAATCATTGAGTATTTTCTTTATCAATAAAAAAAAATATCTCACTATAACTCTATTCAAACAACACAATTCTATTCAAACAATGCATATCGAAGATATACGATCGATTTTAATAAGACTAAAATCACATCTTTATATCTCATAATAAAAGATTCTGTTTCTCTACTCACTCGAATAATACTATATTATCATTGAATATTCTCCTCATCAATAGAGAAAATATCTCACTACAACTCTATTCAAACAACGCATATCGAAGATATACGACTAATTCTAATAAGACTAAAATCACATCTCTATATTTCAATACAAAAGGTTCGTTTCTCTACTCTTTGAATGATACTATATAATTATTGAATATTCTCTCAATCAATAGAGAAAATATCTCACTATAACTCTATTCAAACAATGCATATTGAAGATATACGACTAATTCTAATAAGACTAAAATCACATCTCTATATCTCGATACAAAAGGTTCCGTTTCTCTACTCTTTGAATAATATTATATAATTATCGAATATTCTCTCAATCAATAGAGAAAATATCTCACTACAACTCTATTCAAACAATGCATATTGAAGATATACGACTAATTCTAATAAAACTAAAATCTCATCTCTATATCTCATTAGAAAAGATTATGTTTCTTTACTTATCGAATAATACTACGTAATCATTAAATATTTTCTTCATCAATAGAGAAAATATCTTACTACAACTCTATTCAAGCAATACATGTCGAAGATATACAACTAATTATAATAAGACTAAAATCACATCTCTAAATATGCTAATTTAGTCATTAAAAAGTCCTTCAAATCTCGAAATGAGGAGCTTGTTTTACAGGTACCTATACCAACACTCCAACTCAAAGATTCATCATTACTGTACCATTAGTGAAGAAAAAATTCATCCAACATTTCATACAACTGAGAATCTAAGATGTCATCAATGCTCTCATACGAAGTAAGAGAGGGTCGGTATTTAGAATTGAAGCTCGAATTCCACTTTCACCAATCCATTATTGATGCAAGGTCGCATTTTCTCATCTCAATTCGTAGAATCACAAGGTCATAGCATGACCCTAAGCTACCAAGAAAGGTTAAGCATCCGTTCTTTCTTTTCCTAGAAAATGACTTCATACACTTTGATGGATTCATATCCTAATCATTTTTTTCTTTTATAAATGAGGATTTTTTTTCAAATCAGGTTTGGTTTTTTTTTTTTTTTTTTTTTTTTTTTTTTTTTGAAATTAAGTCCGTTTCTAAAATCATCCAATCAAAAAATTCTATCAATATCAAAATTAAAAGAATCGTAAAAATTTTATTTTCATAATTCAACCTAAGGTTTAAACTCTGATTGCTAAAAAATGGGACGCACCTTTAAGCATCAAGCCAAATATTGCCTTGGGTTATCATAATCGATAAATTAACTACTCTACAGCGTTGCCTAACCTTTAGAATTCTTGCAATGGTTGGTGTAGCAATAATTCAAACTTTAACCGATTTCATGTCATCTCTCTTTTTGAATATGTTTGGTACATTATACAATTTAAAAATCATTGGCGGATGATTAAAAGCAACCTAATTCCACTTCTCTACACATCACGAGAATAGTTTAATGGCAGTTGTTCACATGCATGAAATTCAGGCCTAGGTCTGATAGATCAAATTGTGTGAGTAAGTGCTTTTATTTTACGAAAATGCTTGTCGATATAATGGTGACAGATACCATTTTCAAAAATAAAAAATTTTTAGAGATGAACTTAAAAAATAAAAAAGTTAAATGACATAAATATTCACTGAAATAAAATATTCAACTTTTTTTCTTTTTTGTATCCCTCAACTCTCTTTTATCCTTCAAAAAACCAATACTCTTATAAAATTTTGGTGACTTTTTTTGACACTATTGATGTCATGTAACACTACTCTTTATTTTATGGTTATTCTTTATTTTATGGTTAATCGATTAATTTACCCTTTTTTTTTTTTGTTGGAGGATTTATTGGATTGGTCCCTAAGTTCTAAAATCAAGCCCGCAAATCCTTATATTCTGATACATTTTTCAATAGTCCCGTTAGCACCTTTTCGTGATAAAAATGCCATTCAATGTACAAAATTAATTTAATTCTGAAAAGCAAATGTTTCTCTTAAATATAAACTCATGTTAGGACTTTCAAATAAAAGCCTAAATGAATGCCACGTGTACAAATTAAAATTTAAAATAAAAATTCTAGTTGGGGCCCTTTTTTTAAATAGAATAAAATAAAATGATACAAATAGTTGAAAAAATAACAGAAAAAACTAAAAATATCATATAAATTTTTTAAGCATAATATAAAATAAAAAAAATAATTTTGAAATTGGAAATTCAACAGATTTGTTACTTTTTACTAATAATGATTGGCGGCTAATTGATTCCATCTTGGTATGGATAGTACTCAATGTTTTCTTAACTTGTGCCCCGTGATCTTAGCACATCCTTTTTCCAAATTAATATGACTCTATTGATTTCAGGAGATTAATTAAAACGAGGACCATCAAATATTAATGAAGTTAGCTTTGTCATTAACAAAAAAAAAAAATGTCATTACAAAAAAAAACAAAGAGGTCGCGTGCAGGTCATAAAAAACAGAATCACGTAATGGCTAGAGGCCATGGTCCCTCAAAATGACAGGGTTTTTATAATAGTTATAAAACTTTCAAGCAATTTTTAATATATCCTTGAATTTAATTTTCATTTTACAGAATATCTACATTTTCCACCCCAATAAAATTAGTTATTGTTCTATTGCCACTATTAGTTTATTTTATTTTTAAATATATCCTTATAAATTTCATCTAACACCCTCATTTCTAAAATCTTACACAACAAGAAAATCGAAAAATAGTGATGAAATTTTTCATTACTAAATCATCATTATATATTGCTATTTATCCTTAGCGATGGATTTGTGAAAATATTCTTCCAATAGCCATGTACAAAAAATTGTTAATTTTGGATATAAAATTTTGACAAAAAAATATTTAAAAATTAAGTCTTTATTTATATATAAATAATCAAGGTATAATGGCATTAGCCTTGATTATTTATATATAAAAGATTACCAAAAATACTAAAACAAAATGAGTGTTCATTGTAGAGTTTTTTGTACATTTTATCGTGTGTTCGGACTCAATGTACTGTAGATTCACACTCACATGTACTCGTTGCTTTTACTCGTAGCCTAGGTTTCTTTGTAATTAATGGTCTTTGTTTGGTTTTTTATGCAAATATGTTTGTGTTTTGTCCTCATCTCAATCCTTTATATTTAATTTAGAAATCTTGTCCTTCTATTCATCGTATATAATGAAAACTTTTTCTCAAGTTAGCAATAAGAGTTACATCAAAATGGAAAAAAGAAAAAAACAAGAAGTGAGAGCATGTGCATATATAAAAAGATGTGAATTGTAGATAAAAACCAATTAAAAGTCCTTTGCCTTGGAGCATCAATGTTGTGATTTTATGTATGTCTTCTTCTTTTTTTCTCTTTGTTTGGATTTGATTTTTGGATTTTTTTTTCAGTTAATATGATCTAGGTATTAGTTTTCTTTTTATTCGAATTGATTATAGTGATCATGATTTTGTTCACAATCTAAGCATTCATGCAATTGATGATGATGATTTTGTTCATAATCTAATCATTCAAAATCTAAGTATTCATACAATTGATGATAATTTGGATATTAGTCTTTTGGTTCATTTTTATAGATTATAGCTAAAACCTATGGTTTATTTAATTGCGATTGTATTTATTCCAAATAGGCATGGTTTAAATGCAATTTTTTTTCTAGTTTGTTTTAGAAAATAATGTCCGGGTGTTAAAAACATCCGTCTTATATTCTTTTTATTTTTATTTTTGAACATTGTTTGATTCCTTTTTTTTATTTTTTTTATATTTTAAATTTAATAACCTTTTGTAGTTTGTGTTTGCGGAAGCTTTTTTTTTTTTTTTTTTGTAGGTTTATGTTTGTTTGCAAGAATGATAACTTTATTGTGTTTGTAGGTGATTAAAATTTTTCCTTTCTATTTTAAATTTGTTTTTAAGGGTAAATGTCATGCAAAGTTATGATTTTGTTTTCGTTTCGTTTCCTTTTCTTTTATGGCTTTGTAAGAATTTAGTGCTAGATTAGGACATTTACAAGATGTGAATATATGAATGGAAGTATTGCAATTTTATTTTAGATGGTTCTCTTGATGTATTTATTTATTTATTTATTAGTTAAATTCTTTATTGATCTTTTAATTTTGTTGTATTTGCAGGTGATTAAGCGTCCCTCTCACAGTCAAATTTGTTTTTGAGAGTAAGTGTAATGCAAATTTATTTGGTTCACTTAGTGACATTGTTCCAAATGAAATCTGTTTCGGCATTGGCCATTGTTTTGCACCTTGTTTTCCCTCATTCGGTTCGTTGATCGACGAGATGACTATTTTTCATTATGTGTTTTGAATTTGGATGTTGTTGCTTATTTTTTTGTGATGTCCTCGCCTTCTTTCTTTCACTGTTTAGTCTTTTTGTCTAATTGTGGCCCTTCCATAGCTTTTAGGTTTCCCTTTCATTTTGCATATTTTCCATTTCATTCAACTATTCGCCTTACTTTGGTACTCGGTTATTACCTTTGTTGATAGTGTTTTTTTACATTGGTTTGCATTTTTTTGTTGGCTATCATATTTTTTTCAATCCATTTTTGTTTTGTATTTTTTTCCTCGAGATTTTCTTTGTGTCTTCAAGTGTTTGTGTGCTTTTTTATCATTAATTTATTTTATTTTCATTTTTTTATTTGCATCTATCAATTATGTTTTGGTTTTGTTATTTCTTTCTTTCTTGAAGTCTGAGTTGGTTTTATAGTTTTTTTTTCTAACGTTTTGTTGGCAAGCATATCAAAAGTATACATTTTGTTTTCATTTTATTTTATTTTCTATAGCTCTTACACACACACACACACACATACACACATATATATTCTTTCTTTGTTTTTGTTTTTTAGTCTCTTTATAGGAAAAATATTAAAAAAACATAAAATAATGTATATGGTCCGTTATTTTGCAAATGTTTTTTGGTATTTTACATTTTTAGAAAGCTTTGTTCGCTTTGACATTTGAAACACTCGGATTATGCTGATTTTTTTATGAATTGAAATTTTAGGTTGATGTCTATTGATCGTTGTAGAAAGTTACTATGCTTAGATATGCTCGATAAGCCGAGTTAATTTGAATGTTTTGCGCTTCGTATAATATGCTTTACAGACTTCGTGTATGAAGACAATTTAGAAATATTAGCTTCATATATCTACCACCCTTCAATAAACAAATGTTATTTGATGTATATGATTTAAATCAATTGTTACGTAGTTACACTCGGTGAATATCGTTGCTTTCACTCAATGTAATTTCATGAATGTCTCGTTTTAATTTGTAGATCCATTCGTCATAAAACAATTGCTATTATATCAATTAAAATTTAATGCCACAAGAACACTATTATCATTTTTGTGCCGACCTGCTTATGTTTTGGCTTGGGCATGTGGTTTGAATTCTTTATTTTAAAAAGGGTGAAGCATGAAGGCTTGAATTGAAATAACATTCCAACTTCTTCATGGATTGTTTGTAAAGTCCATAGGTGAACTTATCTCGCTTTTTATTTTATTTTTTAATTAGATATATGTATAGCATTATTTATCTATATAATTGGGTTTTTTTCCCACTCCCTTTGCCTTGTCATTAAAACCTTTTATTTTTCACTTCTTTCTACTTATAAAATGGATTGTTGCGTATGATTTTTCTAATAATGAATGTATTCATCTATACAAATAATTATGTTGAACCTTGAGCGAACTCCAATCTAGTGAGACACTATATAATTTCCTATTGCTACTTTCAAAAACTAGCACAATCACATTTTTTCCATTCTACTCTAGAAATAAGACTAATTATGTTTGGAGTGAAAATAAAAAAATTTAACTCTTTCCAATAAATGAAACTTATAAATTCAAATCCTATACATTGGTAGAAAATTTTCCTATATACTAGCTCACTTACTCGTTAGACCAACAAGTTATTGGTCATATAGTCACATTTAAGATATTATTAAACATTATTATTATATTGTGTGTAATAATCCAAAATTTACCCATTTTGTTTTATTTTATTTATTATTTATTTATGTCTTACTTTATTTCTTTCACATTGGAGTTTACTACGAAAAACAATGATGAAAAACACAAGAATATTCATTCGAGGGCACAATTGCATTTAAAGGAAGGTATAATTGAAGTAATTAAGGATATAATCAAACCAATTAAAAAATTCAGAACCTAAATTGCATCCTACAAGGACCCAATTGATAAGATTGTGCTTTATAAGAACCGAAGTTATACCATAAGAGGGCATGATCGCTGAAAATTGAAATGCATAGGGACCAAGTTGGAATTTTGGAGCGAACGATAGGATCGAAGTAGAGAGGACCTATCGTCCACTCCAATTCGATTTCTCTCCGAAAATCTTTGGGAGAAATCTACCAAATCTTTTATCAAATTTTCTGTTTTGATTTTGCATTAATCATAGATTCTTGCCTAATAGAGAATCAAGCAATGACCGATTCCTTTCCTTATTGATTAGCTAACCAAATTAAAGAGAAAAATCTTGATAGAAAAATTCAAGATTGAGATTTGATTTTAGGAGAAATTTGAGGAAGTTTTTGTCTATAAAACAGGTCCGATTTCATAGAGAAAAAGGGGGAGGAATTCGAGGGTTGAGAGGGAGTGAAAATCGAAAGCAAAAAGGTTTGATTTTTTTATTTTTAGCAGTTGCATTTTTTGGGTTTGTGTTCTTTACGTTCTTGGGGCTCGGGTTTGTTTCACAATCCGTCGGTCCCCTCTCGTTTCTTTGTTTTGTGTTTCCGGGGCTAAATCTCCACCTTTACAGTTTCCTCCATCTCCTTGTTTGAAACTCGAGATTCCTTTCTTTCATTGTCATTTTTTGTTCTTCATGGTTCGAGCGAGTATCGTTTTTGTTCTTTTTTTTTTGGGAATTTGTTCTTCTTCTCTCGGGTTGGTGTTTGTCTTTCTCTGGTTCAATTGAAGGGAATTTGAGTTTGTTTTGAGGGAGATTATCATTGTTTGGGTGAATTAAAACATAAACCGAAGGTCAAAAGTCGAAGAAACCGTGAGAAATCATCACCGAGATTCATCGTTGTCGGGTTTTTTAGGTTTGTTCTTGGTGTTCTTCGGACATTTTCTAGGTCAACTCCTGGATTCGACTTCCTAGTTTTTGATTTCGTTGTTTTTTTTTAATTTTAAATTTTTGCTTGCCATTTCTTTCCCGCCTTGAATGATGGTGTGTTTAATTGAGTTTTTTGCTTGAAAGGGGATCTTTGATTTTTGGAAAACTTGAAGAACTAGAGAGAGAAATTAAAGAACAAGTTAAGAACTAGAGAGAGAGGTTAGGGAGTTGTTTGATCAAAATTTGACTTGTTCTTTTTGTTGGGGCGTGTTTACGGGCTTAAGTCTAATTCGAGAAAAGGAAAATAAACAAAAGGATGGGTTGGACCGAATTCGGTCTAGCCCATGTTCCTTACCCCAAATAACAAAAAAAAAAAAAAAGAGAGAAAGCTCCCAAATAAAAAAATGAGTAGGCTGGAATTAATCCAGACCTTCTCCCGAAAAAAAAAAAACAAGAAAAAAGAAAACGAGAGGGAAAAAAAAAGAAAAAGAAAAGGAAAGGGTAAGAAAGACATGAGGAATAGGTTAGTGGGCTTAAGGGCCAAACTAATTTCTTTTAACATTTTGATTTTTTATATAGGGCCTAATTATTATTTTTTTGTATTTTATTTATTTATTTATTTGTAGTACTTTAAAATTGGTATTTTAATTTCTTATGTGAACTTATTTTTATGTGTCGTTAGATAAAAAAATATATATATATAATAAAAATCCTTGACGAAGTCTCCTATCCGATAGGGACTAACGTCACCAAAAAATATATAAAATAATTCTCGATAAAGTCTCCTATCCGATAGGGACTGACGTCACCAAAAGGAATATCTAAAATTTTCGACGAAGTCTCTTATATGATAGGAACCGACATCACCAAACATCATTGTTTAATCGGGATGTCCTTCGATACACTCGTTGTGTCAAGGCTTAAAGTGAATCCGATGTTTGAACCGATGTGTCGCTTGACGAAGGGGATCGACGATCGTTTCAATATGGTGTTACGCTTAAAACTAAAAAATTCAATTTATCTTTAAAAATAGGAGTTTAAGAATCGGAAAATAATTTGACATAAATAAAATATTTTAGGAGACGAATCTAGAACTAAATCATACGTGGTACCTTTTTTCTAAAAAGACACTTTTAGGTGATTAAATATCTTCCTAAAAGTGTAATCAAGTCCTTGCCGTAGAATCTCCGAACTAGTGCCTATTTTAGATTCCTAGTTCCTTCAATACTAGGTGGCGACTTCAAACTTTATAAATAATTCTTGTCAATAAGTAATACCGAATGTTTGGATTTATTTAATCTTTGGAGAGTCCCGTCCGACGTTAGGTAGCAACATCGTGAATAAAAAACTTTCATTAGCATTTATCCTCAATGTTGAATTTGCAATATTTACTTTTTCTTTTTTAGTTTGATAGTGAGTACATTGTTAAAGTAGTTTATCCCTCGACCAAAACAAAGTCTCTTTCTGGTCGATGTT